ATCTCTTGCAAATTGATAGTATGACCGCGCGAAAAGCTGAACGATATGGAGCTCAAATCATGTGCATGTTAAAAGAATACTGGAATGAACTCGACGGTAATTTATATTATGAATTTGGAATAAGTAAAAGTGAACAGTAATTCGTAAATAATTTTCGTGTATTACTCTGATTGATTATAGTTCAAATTAATAGTTATCATTTAAACTGCAGCACGTGAAGAGAATGAAATCAAACGACAGTTGAACCATATGAATACAAGCAAAGACATCGTCGGTGGTTTCAGGGATGTACAAATAGATGGTACAGTTGCCCCAAATACAGGTTAAAATCTTTTCTATGAATGTTAGAATCAGTTTCTCTTTCCTGTTGTCAATCACCGGATACTCAAATTATTTATTAAAAGTCGTTTAGTAACCAATTCACAAGTTGTTTCTGGTCGCGGGAAATATTTCCCTTACTTCGGGACGTCAACCTATTTACCTCGTAAACGAGACAAGGATCGTAAAAGAGGGTTCAACGAATCACAAACGTAAGTTGGTAAAACTTGTAGCCGTAACTAAAATTTAACATATGATAACTTATTACATAATTGAAATATCATGCTGGTCGTAATCGTTCTATACATTGTTGCATGTGGAGGGATTGCGGAAGTAGATATCAACAGTGGATCTCATGAAATCAAATCTATTTTCGCACTGAAATGTGTAAAGAATATCTCACGACATTTCAGTAACCTGTAAAGTGCTACTAAGCAATATTTGTTTGTTCATTCTCTTACTGGTTTTCATTTTGCCAAAACTTGTGATGCGTTATTTGAAGGTCTAGCTCGCCAAGAGGTTCAAGTCGCTCTAGACATGGATGGAGGAAAACTTCCGCGTTTCGTAAAACAAAAATACCTATAAATCGATCACTTTTTCCAAATCTGTGAAATTATCTTCAACTTTCGCTTAGATTGTTTGATTATTCATTTATTTTATTTAATGTATTTGTTGGATATACAGATTATTGGTGCCTTTTTTGTTATTTTCTTTCTTCTCTGTCATTTCTTAAATGTTGATTTTGTTTTTTCTTTTCCTTTTGGTGAGAAAACTTATTCTTTTTTCACTTTTAATCCGGTGTTTGTGCTGGAATCGTTTTAGCAAGGATACTTACTGTAATAAAAGGATCTCACCTATCTACTAAAGGAGCAATAAAACGTTATGGTTCTTTACCTTTTATAATAAATTCATCTTTGCTATTGTGATTAGCATTCAGAAACAGTTTTTGGCTTGATCGATTCAAAAATAAAGTAAGATTAGTTGAACTATATTAGGGACTGATTCAGATTTAGTTGGCTTCTGGAAAACCTATCATCACGGCTGATTGATTGCCATTCGAAGTTCAGTCCACATAACACTCACTGTCCTCTTTTAAAATCCCGCTGTGAATGGTGACATACTACTCTGTTTGCAGCTCAATAACATTGAGGGATCGCTGTCTGTTTCGTGGGCGTTACATTATAGCGTGGTGAAAAGGTAACAAGGTGAAGAGGACTGCTGGTTATAATGGACACAGACGGACAACAAGGTTAGCATCTGGTATTTACTTATTGCAGTGCACTCATTTTGTGTCTGCCTCTCTATAACAACAGTCCAATTTCATATGAGGGATTTTTTGTGAGGAGGGACTTCTCGTTTTGATTTATCGCCCTTTAGGCATTTCCCCTGGAAACCCGTTATTTTCTGAGGAGTACTAATTCAGCACATGGCACAAGTGTTTTAAGTATTGCGCACTGTTCAAAGATTTTGATAGCAGGTCCATTCGATCAATCTGAATTCAGGTATACCAAGTATGGAAAGGTCAGAGGTTGGTGGAGCAGTGGTAGGCAGTCAATCAAGGAATACTGCAACAGAGTCGTTGCGAATGCAAAGATTGCACAAAATGTTAGATCTGACGCGATTTGTGCATCAGCTTGAAGAATTATTAACTCAGCCAATAAAGTAAGAGTTACATTCATTTAGAATTAGAATAATGATTTGTTTCGGACTTTTCTAGAATTGTTTTTCAGCGATTTCGAAGATGGTGTTATTAAAAATCTTTCTCATTTCCAGAGTTCCAGGTACATCAATTTTACCTTACCCTGGTTCGCCTGTCAAAGTACGCCACAACATCGCTAGTATGTTCTCAGTACGCTCTTTGTGGGCAACAGAAGAAGAACGAAAAGCTGCTGTTAGTCAGCTTTACAATTTTAAGAGTTTGAGGAAACGAAAATGGATCCAAAAAATTTTGCTCGAGGAATCCGATTCAGATTCTGATGGTGAATTCCCATTCACTCTCAACGATTTGCATACTATTTTAAAGGTTCATTTTACTTTTTTATAAAAAGTTGCTAAAGTTGACCATTTTGCCAATCCTTTAGGATTTGGTTGCCTTTAAGATGTCTTGATTTAAAAAGTGTCGCTTTTCAAGTCAAGACATCTTGATTTTCATTTCTTAAATTTTTTATATTGTTTTAAAAAAATGCGCACTTAAGCTGCTTTTTATACGCTGTTGAGGGATCTAACGTCCATCATTTTTTTAAGATCTGTGAATTCCTCTAAAACATTGTGTGGAAATGATAGTTATTCGAAATATAAAGAAAGACATGATTTTACATCAGAAACGAAAACGTGATTTTACCGAGAAATAGGAAAGGTTAAGGTTAAAATGATGTTAGGGAGACATCACTTTGTGTTAATTCAAAAATTTAATGTTCATGAGGGCTTTTCATTTTTGGCAGCAGATAGAATTAAATGTAGGATTCAGAATGATTTGTGAAATTATCGTAGGACACTTTGTTTCTTTATACTTTGTAGAATTTTAAAGTCTTATATAATATAATGATATCTATTTCTATTAGTGTATTATCAAAGTTTCTACAAATGTTTGCGTTGGCGATTCTTGGAAATGCAGTCCATCATATCAGATAAATTGTATTACCTGTTCGGTTATGTTTGATACCTTTATCATTCCTAAACATTCTTTCATTTCCTGTAATTTTTTCTGGAATATCTTTTTATGTCATTTGGAATGTTTGCATCTGCATACGACTCAGCGATTTTTTGATTTTCATGCTGATGATAATGTGTCTGAAAGGAAAGTAGCTTTGTTATGATCTTTTTTTCTAAGCCAGTTTGTTAATTCATTCATTTACTTATTTGAGAATTTGTTGGTCCATCGGTCATGTAAAAAAGGCTTTAAATTTACAGATATAAATTAAAAAATTAGTTTGGAACAAATGGTTTTTATTGATTTCGTTCTGGGCTGAGAGCATATTTATGCATTTGATCCCTTTGAGTAATTAATTTTTAGAATAGTCCTTGATTTGTTACTTCTGTAGTCCTCTATTTCTTATGTTTTATTACTTGTTTTTTTGTAGTTATTGAATATTTCGGCTTTAACACTACTGAGAAAAATAAGCTTAACGATAGTTATTCGTTATTTCAATATAAAAATTCTCAAGACTTTTTTTTTCAGTTACATCGTCGACGGCGAAAACTGCAGAAAACTTATCACATCAATGTTCTCAATTCTCAGTATACTTATTATGGTGCTGGCTTACTAAGCAGTTACGATCCATTTCCAGAGCATCAAGATAAAGTAAAGGAAAAGCATGGTGTTAAACCTAAGCAGAGCTGATATATTCTTATAAGGATCTCATGTTTGTTCGCTCACCTTCATTATGATATAATATCCCTGACTGTTGTATTTAAAATTTATTGCTTAGAAGCAAGAAAATGTCTATCAGAAACAGGAATATTGCAAATTAGGGAATCTCAAAAATGAAAATTTCTTCCTTACTTTCCCTTCTTTCCGTTTGTTATCTTAAATCCTTGTCTCACTTAATCCAAAATTATCGCAAGTTTGCTAGCTCACTCGATATTTTGATAGGACCAGGAGATTATTACTTATTTTTGATAAAATTGATTCGAATAAAAAAATCGTTGCGTGGATTTATTTGCACTGTCATTGTTGTATGCTTCTAATAGTTTTCTAAATTGTTTGTATATGCAGTTTTATAATGTCCATTTTTGATTTCATGCTGTGTACTCTGAATCCCTTCTTTTATCTCTGTTTTCACTGTGGAATAAATGTGTTGCTCGTATTTTTTTGAGATAATTATCATATTGATGGAAAAGATTCTAATTCGAACTTTAGTGTACTTTCTTTAAAAGTATTACACTTGCAGTCCACTTATATTCACAGGAAGGAACAAGAATATATAGAATGAGGAAAACGGGTTTCCGAGCAAGTTTCTTATCTCCGCAAAGCTTTCATGCATCATCCACGTCTTATTTAATTTTTAAAAGGTTCGATTCTGGCTGCAGAACATAGATATGAACCAAGTGATATGGGATAAGCTGCTCAATCCTACCTCAAGTGTCTCTTACCGATATCAAAGTGCCTAAAAGAGGTGGAAGTCCTCGTAAGTATTTAAATCTGAATACTATTTCATCCTTATAGGGAAGAGATATTTCTTGAACGGCATCGCATGTTGTACTTCCCGCACTGTTTCTGGAGGTAACGGTATTTATTTTATGATGCTTTTAAGTGAGATTTCATTTCCAAAATCTTCATAGAAAAGTTGTTTTTTAAGTTGATTGTTTTTTTTTTTTCGTATAATCGGTCAGTGTTGTGAAGCTGAAGACTGAGATTCACAAGTAGGTAATTAGGCGTCATTTTGTTGCGAATACATTCAGAGACAGAATAAAAATGATTTTGCAGAAATGGGGGAAGCAGCTGAATTGGCCGAGCAGCTTCTCAACCCCCGTTCCATGCTCAATGTTGATGGCTTATTGGCAAGTGGTTTCTTTTTTGTTTCCTCCCTTATTCATAGAAAAATGTCGCAAAAAGGGTAGGGATTGTGCATAAAATCTTTTTACTTCGTACGTTTCTTATTTCATGTTATTTTTCCTTCTTTTTTTCTTTTTCTTTTTTTTCTATATGTGATACATATGTGTATGAGGGGAACAATGCCGATTTAAATCTAGTTGACACAAGTTAACATATTATTTTGTGCTGAGTTTCAATTTTAGGATGCGTTAGCGGCTTTGGTGGAAGACTGTAATTATCCCTTATTAAGACGGACGAAAAATATCGACAATTTTGTTACTCGTTGTGAGCAAATTCTAATTTTCTAAATAAAGTATCGTTGGGAGCGGTAGAGGTTCTTTTTAGTAAAAAGATATTGTAGGTCGTCATAATGTGTTATTCCATAGGAATGTTTTCATCCTGAAATCATTTTCAAGTTGCTTTATAATTTCATGGTTACTATTCACTAGGTTAACAGCGCTGCTTTATGTCGGCTTATGATAATAATGACAACTTTTTATATATTTCTTACTTATTCTGGATTGCTACTTCAGATAGTGAAGCAGTACAGCAACTTACAGCACTTCGTCTAAAAGGTTCCGACTTCCAGCTTATCAAAGTTATAGGACGTGGAGCTTACGGTGAAGTACAATTGGTGCGGCATATTACATCGCGAAATGTTTACGCTATGAAATTACTCAACAAAAATGAAATGGTAAGTAGTCGAGAAGACATAAACTGTATTCCATAGCTATTTTAAATATTTACCGGAAATCAGAGAAGTGGGCAACCGATAAGTATATAACACTTACCTTTGTTCTTTGAGGTACGGCGGGCTGATTCGGCATTTTTTTGGGAAGAACGAGATATTATGGCACATGCTCATTCCGAATGGATTGTGCGCTTGCATTATGCTTTCCAGGATACCCACTTTTTGTATATGGTGATGGAATACATGCCGGGAGGTTACTTTGATTTTGGAAATATTAGACGTGTTGTTTTAATTTCTTGCCTTAAGGAAAATCGTGATTGTAAGATTGCTTTAGATCCGAACAAAAGGTGGCACAAAAATATAATCTGTTTGATAAAATTTGGAGATAAGTGCCTATTTTTCTAGGCGATTTGGTCAACTTAATGACATCATATGATGTATCTGAGAAATGGGCTCGATTTTATACAGCTGAACTTGTAATGGCATTGGATACCTTACATGGAATGGGCTACATTCATCGAGATGTCAAACCAGACAATATGCTTATAAGTAAATCAGGCCATGTAAAATTAGCCGATTTCGGTACATGTTTGCGGATGGGTTCGGTAAGTGTTATGTATAGAGCAGGATACAAGGATTCAAATATTTGCAATTACTTAAAGCTGTTTCATTCTTGCCATATTGAGTATGACTTGGGAAGATTTTTGGTGGATTCGTTAAGCTTCTGCAGATGAGTTGATTCTAAAATTATATTTATTGCTGAACTGTTTGCAGGATGGTTTAGTAAAATGTACTACTGCGGTGGGTACTCCTGATTATATTAGTCCAGAAGTACTGGAACTTCAAGGTACCGAAGGAGTATACGGTTGTGAAGTTGACTGGTGGGCAGTGGGTATATTTGTATACGAAATGTTAGTGGGTGAAACACCGTTTTACGCCGATTCTTTGATGGGAACTTACACGAGGATCAGGAATCATGCAACAGAGTTGAAGTTAGTTTTAGTGTTCAGGTGTAGAAAGAAAATAATATCTTTAAAATATTTCTAGCTTCGATTTATAATTTTCAGTTTTCCGGAGGATGTTGAGATGTCCGAAAATGCCAAAAATTTAGTACGTGCTTTTTTGTCTAACTCAGAGAAACGGCTTGGTAAGGATGGTATTGAAAGTATAAAACAGCATCCATTTTTCCAGAATGATGAATGGAACTTCGAGACCATTCGGAAAGGTCGGTGGATTAGTCATTAATTTTCGAAAATGTCGATTGTCTTTTTTCATTATTTTCATAATTTATGCAAACTGTCGTTTCAGCTATACCTCCAGTAATTCCTGAACTGAAGGGTGATGATGATTCTTCTCATTTCGATGATATTGAAACAAAAGAACCGGATCCTGCTGAGTTTTTTCAAATCCCAAAATCATTCGCTGGCAATCAACTGCCCTTTGTTGGTTTCACGTATTCTAATGAAACTGGGTGAGTTTTAATTGCCCTTAAAATTAGGAACACAACGTTTGTAGTAATTTGAATGCCTCAGTCCTATTTCAGACCGATTTCTGTCATTCAAAAAAAGTTAGAGACCGCATCAACGGGTGATGCAGTACAAGTTCGAGCTGCTTTAAATCAGCTGAATCGGATTTCGGATTCCCAGCTAGAGGTATGCTGATTAACTGCTTTGATCAAACGTTATACACTTGATCAGTTTTATTTATTAATTTGTTACTGATATGGCGCGAAATTCTAGGATGAAAAACGGGAGCTTGAAAAGGAATTGGCAGCATATCAAGTACAAGTGAAAGATTTGGCCCGGAAACTTGATATGGAACGCGAAGAAATGAATATCAAAATCAAAATGATAACTTCCCTAGAAGAGCAGCTGATTATCAAAGCGAAGGTGGAAGACCGCGTGAAAGAGCTTGAGCGACAGATCGGAGAGGTTTGTAATGTTTTCCGTATCAAAACCATTTCTATGCTGTTCATTTACTTGGAGCATGTCCTGTGATTGCCTTTTGTGTACTTGAAAGTTGCTGACGACTCAGCCAATGAACTTTTTAGAGAAAAAGCTGAGTAGATGATGAGTTTTACTTGTTTTATGTTGACCATTTTTTCCCACTTATCGCTTAGTTGTAGGTTTTGCTAATCATCGGACTTTGTTCCACATTTTGACTCAACATTTTTGAGGATCTTTTTATTTGTCGATTTTTAAATGATTTATTCAGTGTTTGTTTCAGCTAAATGAAAAATGTCGTCATCATGCAGAATCAGAAGAACGTGCCAGAAAGCAGCAAAGTGAATTGCATACTAAATTAAATTCACAAAGTGAAATTGCTCGTGAATTAAATGAACGACTTCAGAAAAGTACTAAAGAGGAGGCTGCGCTGCAGCAACAGATTGATCAGTTGCATGCTTTGAATTTACAAGAAAGAGAAAACTTGAGACGAGCACAACAGCGGTCTAACGTAAGTGTCCAATCGATTACATAATTTTGCTCGATAGTTTCTTTTTTTGATGAAGAACTTTTAGAATGTCTAAATTAGAATTTCAAATTTACAGGAACAAAATGAAAAAGTTGAAGAGTTACGGACGGAATTAGCAGCAACACGTGATCGAGAAATGGCACTGAAGTGTCAAGTGGGGAAACTGAGTGAATTAATGGCGCAGCAGGAAATTTTTTCTGATGAAAATAGAATTGACGATGAAGCCAGGAAAAATAACGTACGTCTCGTTGGCGATCTTCAAGCAGCTCACAAGAAGGTTCTTTTTTCATGTATTATAATTGTTATTACTGATGTTTTCGATTTCTAGGTACTACCGTTTTATGGTGAATTTTTATTCCAACTAATAGTTTATACCAAGGTATGCATAACAAGCATTATCTTCTCTATATATCATACACTTATATTTGCCGTAATAGCATTAGCAAAACATCGATATTGAAATCCATAAATTCATAAAAGTGAAAATATCTCATGTTATTGTTAATCCAGCTATTTAATTCATTTTTGCAGATAGAGCAGTTAACATCCGACTTGGAACAAGAAACTAATCGCCGAATATCAACGCAAAATGACATACACTGCTTGAATGACCAATTATCTAATATGCAGAGTTCATTGCATTACCAAGAAAATGTAAGCCAACACTTCCTGACTTTATGCTTTAGCATAGATGAAATCTAATCTTTTGGCTTGCTCAAACTTTGGAACCAAAATTCATTCTTTATGAATGGGATA